AGTGTATCGCCACTTTTCTTCACCATTCGAAAATTCTCCTGAACACAAAAAAGTGAATGGTTTGCAGTCAAATAACAAGCAGATAACAACATAATATCGACAACCCAGTTCAAAGTTGCAACAAATCCAACATTTTCAAATACGAGTTGTGTGTTTCATATTTGTTGCCATTTTACATTTATTTTTGTTCACTAACAAAATCTAATGTAGCTACATCACCGGTCACAAGAAAAGAGTATAGTTTTAAATTATTACACCCGAAAAATAGTTTTTCAGTATCATTTAACTGGCGGATAACTATATTTATCTGCTGGTTAAGTTTATCTGATAGATATCTTGTTTTTCAGTCAATGATATTGCTTATCTGTTGGATAAAGTAGTAGTTAAATTATCCGGTACTTTTTTTGCCGGCTTACAGTTTAACTGGCGGATAATACAATATCATAATAGATAACAAAAAAAAACCCCTGTCATTTTTTTTTTAATTTATTATTTGAAAGTATTTTAAATGGATCACATCGAAGTTGATTTTTTGTATGATGATGACGATGAAGAGATAGTAGAATATTTATACCTACCACCATTGATTTTAGAATATATTCTAAAATCAATGCTACCACCAACGTTGGCCTTATACAATTTGACAAAGAGTAGATCATTTCACGAGGTGAGATGACTACGACTTTAGAGTCAGGTTTAGGTTGTCTAAAGACGTTGTGAGGAAAATTTTAAATTTGATTAATGACGAAATAACGTCACAAACCGATTGGTGAGTTTAGAAAGGGTTTATGTGTAGTTCATAGAAATAAATACATTGTTAATAGTTAAAAACATAATGAAGTATTTTAACTTTGTAGAGCCGTTAACATTGGAATAATATTTTAAAAGCAGACTGAACATTTTGATAAATATACCTGCAATACGATTTATGTAAATAATTAATTAGACATTCATTATTACTAACAACATGGATATAAGCATAGCGCGAGTAACTATATATATATATACAGGGTGATCCAACTAACGTAAGACACTCATTTTCTCTGAAAATATAAATATTTTGAAAAACATTTTTTCCTAAACTTTTAGGTACATATTTTACTATATTTTTCAATATTTTGAAAATTGTTATCACCAATAAGGCAAAAAGGGGGATTTTTGTTTTTTTAAATGGCAACATATGTTTTTAATTACATAAATTTGTAGACAAAAAATTTAAAAATATGTTAGCGTTAAATTTTTTTATTTTTATTAATCTGTTCATAAGTCATGACTTTGTTAAGATACTAATAATAATCATATTTACTAATAATAATCATATTTCTTTGGTCATCCAAAACCGGTAGCACATCAAATTCGTATTTATGTTCGCATTGTCCAATTGGCGATAACATTCTAACAACTAGGAATTCACTATAAAAGATTTTGAAATAGACAAAGGTTCTTGTCTACAGATTACTTAGATTATAGGTTATTTGTTATATCTGATTATGATACAGATTACGGTAACATGTCAAATTATTTGTATGCAATGTAATAAAACTACTCGTCTTTGTAGTAACGATTGAAAATATTAAGAAATACAGTCAAAAAATCAAATCTTTATAAAGTCATAATAAATGAACAAATAAATGAAAATTCAAACTTCAGAGGCTAACATAATTTTTAATTTTTTGTCTACAAATGTATGTAATTAAAAACATATGTTGCCATTTAAAAAAAACAAAAATCCCCCTTTTTGGCTAATAAGGACTGGTGATACAAATTTTCAAAATATTGAAAAATGTAATAAAATATGTACCTAAAAGTTTAGGAAAAAAATGTTTTTCAAAATATTTATATTTTTAGAAAAAATGAGTGTCTTACGTTAGTTGGATCACCCTGTATACAAATACATAAACAATAATTAACTTGTAGTGACTTAATTAAATAGAATATTGATTAGAAAGAGTATGGACTATCGTGTAGAAAATAGTTTATTTTAAACATTCTTCTTTCCCCCTTTTAAATAAAATTGTATGTCTCCTAAATGTACTCGGCTATATCTCCAATGAATAAACTTCTGCTAACACTCCGCTTATATGCTACTGGAAGCTTTCTCATCACTGCTGGAGACTTCCTTGGTGTGAGCAAGTCTACAGCAGTAACAATTCTTTTTCAAATTACTAGACCTACTTTTTTTGTTAGACATTTTAAAAATAGTTCACAAATAGTAAAATTTTAAACTAAAATCACCGATCAGGTTTATAGTTTTTAAATTGTTTTTTGTTGATAACACACAATCTGCAATTAGCGCTATCGTCCGATCACAATCGACACAGTTTGTACCACGAATCAAAAAGATCCATGTAATACAAATTTAACTTTCAGCTAACTAACTGTAGGATGAGAAGAGAAAAACGGAAAGTAAGGTATCTGGAGGTTAAACTAACGAATAAAGTTATCCGGTGGTTAGTTGTCTACCGGTTAAATGGATTACTGAAAAAGCCGGGCCTGAGTTGCTATACATTTGTCTGGGGCGTCGACATAATGCAATATTACGGACAAACTAGGTACGGCCAAAACACCCAGAAGGCGGGCAATGCGCACGCAGGGCAGAGTGAGGGCGGGTCGATACATGCCTTTAATTTACCACCCCGCCCTCTCGCGCAGCTTATTACCGAAATTGCTGCGTACTGAAGTATCCGTCCATAGTCCATATAATATACAACGCATATATTATGATATAATTAGTCGCTACGCAGTACGCGACCTTAATCAAATTTACTATACGTTTACCATGTACATAATGGTCACATCGACACAGGCCGCCCTGCTTTTGTTTGTGCCAGACCGCTCACATGCTCAATATTAATATTATTGTCCATTTCACCGCCGTGCCACTAATATTTTTAAAAATGTCGCAGCAACATAATTTTGTGACAAAAGCTGCATTTGTTTGAACGCGAGGAATTTTCCCTACTGCCATAAACATTATTATTGTATAGATACGTTCGGCAGAGGACATAACGTTGTAATTCCACAGCCGGTAAACAGTTTTCGGTAAAACGGTAAATTAAAAAAAACTGTCGGGTAATTTTTTTTATGAATTTGTATTGTTTCATTATTTATTAAAAATAGACTGGATAGGCTTCAGTTTTATCCCACATAGAAAACAAAACATAATATTGACATGTAGAACATATTTTTGTGTTCATGTGTTTTGAAATATTGTTCAAAAATATATTTTGGGTATAGGTACTAGCTTGTTACTGCTTCTTAATATACTATATCATTATTTATAATTCCACCACAACTCTAAATTTATCTCGGTACCTACTTCAACGAGACATGTAAATGCTCTTTTGTGATTGCAGACTCGACTGAAAAACTTTTTAGGGAATTTTTCACATGTATTATTTGTATTAAACTTGTTTTAATATATTTTTTTTTAATGTGTATTACCATTTAGTAATATTATTTGTGTACATATACCTAAACATTTTTAAAAATTTTTATTTCAACAAACACTATATTAATGAAACATAATTAAACCATCTGAAGCTTGCAACATTGCGTTTCGTTGGGCATTAATATTATGTTAAAGCGACGACTCTCTACGCATGCTTACAAGCTCTTAGACTAGGTTTACAGCACCTTTAGATTTTTATAGAAACTTTTTTTTATCTAAACATTTTTGGTATGCTTTAAAAATTGAAATAATTAAAGATCAGAATAAAGGTATTATTTAGAAAACACCTAATATATACACACACGTATATATTGATATATAACTTATTTTCTTTATATTTATATATATAAATATTTAAAAAATATATATTGTAAATATGTTATGTACTTTACTACTGGAATTATTGATGTTGATATGTATATGTATACATACCTCAATTTTTGAGCACGACAGTTGACCTAATGTAATGTTTTGTCAAGTACCTACCTACTTGTGTGTACCTTACCTGTGCGTACTTGATGACTTTTTTTGTTAATATTTTGAGCTTAATTAATTTTTTTTTTTATGAATTATTAAATATATATATATATACGAATTATTACTTGATATATATTGATGATTAATGTTATCATATGAACTTTAGTCTTCTTTTCTTCTCTGATAGTCAGTATCCTTCAAAAAAGCGTTTATGTTTTCAATACATGTTATATCTGTAACAACTGTGAATAAGTGTGCAAGTCGAATTTTGGTCAAAATTGACTAATTACGCTAGGATGTAGTCCGAGGCGTTTAGCACACCTTGAATAAAAGTCTAACTCGTTGGATCAACAAGATAACCTTAAGAGAGATGCGAGTTATTGGCTATCAGGAATTCTTTAAACTCCGATATATCTTTGGACTTAAGGTTCGAGGGCTAGTTCTTCTAGCCAATAACGATTATACAAATATTTTCTTTACATTTTTAGCACTACACCGATGGGAGAGTAATTTGAAGTTGAAAAATGGTTGTTTTCTAAAGTAAAAATACCTAACATTAAGTAATCTTAATACAATTTTGTAAATTTTATTTTGACATTATAAAGATAATAAAAAGGTCTTTTGTTTCTACCTACAATGAAATAATTATAGGACTACTTTCACTAAAAATAAAAAGTATAATAGTATAAACTATAAAAGTAGTAATAATTTCACAGCTAAAATGAATAAAACTTGCCTATGCAGAATGTATATTTAAAAGCATTAAATTATTATGTTTGTTTACATGTTTTATACAAATAGCTAAGTATTAGGTTTATTAAATCTATATTATATATTATATACTATATTTATAAATATATACTAATTATAGCTTTCAATTATAGCTTTTCATTAAAAACTGTCTACGATGATTGACAAAATTCTTAATACGTAGGAGGTATTATGGCTCACAACATAATATAAACAATAATAGATCAAATAATAAATAAACCAAAAACAATTAAAATAGCTAATAATAACAATATATTTATAACAAAAACAATAACAATGTCATACACGTAACAATGTACATTCAATAAAAAAAGTCTGCATTGTTAAGATGGTTACATCAACTAATTACATAAAATATTTTTTTTGTTTTTGTTTACGTTAAATCGCTTACACATCTAATGATTGTAGTAAAATTTAATTAAAATTAAAGAGCATCGATTAAACACTAGCAGTTGCACTTACATGGCCTATCGAGTTACAATTACTCTACTTAATGCAATTTATTTACAAACTGATCAAATGAATAACGGTCAATCACATTTGTATTTATTTGAGACTTGACAGTAGATTGAACACAGCTAACATATTAATGTTTGAAATCGATCAACTCTTGTCATTGGCGTAGGCTTTTTGGGTACTTACAAAAGATAAAAGATGTACTTAACACGTTGACCGCCACGGGTTTTTTTACTTTGTTATTTGTAACAGCCATGAGATGTAATTCTAAATCTCAATTTTTTTCAAAAAATTGGTTGTGAGATTTTTTTTAGAGATCTCATTCACAATTATTTTCGATTGATGAGATTTGTACAGTGTTGCCACTTTCATTCGGTCTTTTTAGCAAGCGTCTAGCATTATCAGTTTTTTTCTATGATTTTTTGAAATGTATGTATGCCATGATAATCTTATCATTGATCCATTTGCATATTTTTTTGAAAATAACAAAGCTAGATAATGAAATAGAATAACTTTTGTTAAAATACGTACTGTAGTTTTTGGTTTGGCTGTAATTTGGTTAGCAGAAGCTTCTCTTTGGATTTTTTTAACAATGGCGTTTTTCCTCAATCATTTTCCTTCTTTTTTTAAACAGTAGCTTCTTTAAATTCCTTTTTAACCTTGCTGTCCTTAGGAAGATCTTTTGATTCAGCCAGTACAGAGTCACTTTTAACAGTAGATTTGTTTCGAGCACTATTACCAGGACAAGTAATTGTTTCTTCTATTTTCGTTTTACCTGGCTTTTTAGTCACAGACTCAGTAGCCATTTCCTTTTCTTTCAAAACGATTTCAGACTTTTCTTTTTTTCTGTCAACTTTGTGTGGAATTTCAATGTTGTTCTTTAATGTTGCTGCCACCTTCTCTTCTACCCTTACGGTTTTCAAAGGCTTTTTTTCAGACAAACGGTTCCGTTTTCTTTCCGATTGTTTCAGGTCTGGCTTTTTTCTTATCTACTTTCTTAGCAACATGTTTATCACTACTCTTCATAGTTAAAGCAACCTTGTCTTCGATTTTTAAAGTTTTGGAAGGTTTTTTTGGTGTCACCGGTTCTTTGACAATATCGGCTTCCTTTATGAAAGTTTCTATTTTTTCTTTTTATTCCTTAGGTTCTAATTTAATGGCAATAGTCGTTTGCCTGTTCTTATCAAAACTGCTAGAGGGTAACGCTTTATCCACATCATGAATGATACTGCGACTAAATCTGCTTCCAGATCTCACTCCTCTAAGATGACTTATCATCAAGCAGCCGAGTTTTCGGTAGAAATCTTCAATACTATGTAGATACCTAGTACAAACAAAGTACTCATTATCATTCGCTGTTCATCAAATTAATTTCACATACATCATAACTCGTATTGTAATAATTTTTAAGTATAAATTCAAAGTGCATTAATTTTTTCGGTTTTATAAAATACATTTAAAAATTATTAATTGATTTTGTCCAAACAGGATGTTATATTATTATTTTTAAGTTTACAAGGGTAATTCTTTTTTAATAAAGTTACATGATTATTACAATATTGTTTATTTGTTCGTGGTATACTAGCAATATTTAATATTACAAACATACACTTACTGTTGGTAATATTGTTTGACAGAAGAAACACGGTTTGTGGCCAATCCTTTGTGCCAGTTATCCACTGTTAACATTTACCGACTTTGTTAAAACCGCCCAAGTTAATGACAACCTAAAACATAATAAAACAGTTAGAATACGACAACTGAATTCTATATTTTATATACACATAACACACCATTGTTACAATTTCTGTACAAATAATCATTTAAATATATTTAAAACTTAATTATCCCGTTAAAGATAATTTATTTGTCCATAAATATATCGACTATTTCAATACTAGTATAAATCGAATTTAAAAATTTCATTTAGTTTAGTAATTTAAAAAATGTTTGAATGATTTGCATACTTCTTCGGACTGACAATCCGTTCTGGATAGCGAATTCATCTAGAAACAATCTCATGATAGCAGAGTTGGACCTTCAAGACCCGTTAAGCCACATCATGATATTATAATATACATTGCATAAGATTCTTTAACAATCAATATCAATCTATAATGTATAACTTAATAACACACCAAAAGCAATTCAAACATATATTTTTTTCGAATCTATTTTGAAAATTGTGTCAACATAATAAAACACTGTATCAGTTAGTTTTATTAACAGCTACTGTACTGACAATCATTAAACACCCAATTGAATGTTCAATAGATTCTCTTTACGCTAACGTGTACTTTAAGCTAAATTAAATATCGATTAAATACCTTGAACAGTTTGTACATATCAACATTTTTGTCGTTAATCATGGGTGCTTGGTTTTTATAGGTGTTCCTCGGACATCCATAAAATTGAATAATAGTGCCCAAAATGGTCTTCAATAGATTCTTAATTGGAGTTCTAAGAAATGTTGATAATTTTATTGTAAACAGATAAAGGATAAAAATAAATCTGTAGCATTATGACAGAACATGATAAGTCAAAACGGAATTATCTGTAAAAGCGGTTCAGTTATTTGACTAACAATGTTAACAAAGATGGAAAATTATATTTCAAATGTGGCAAAAAAAGAATTACCTAAAATTAATAAAGAAAACTAACTAACTTCTGCCTTAATTACCAAATGGAAATGTATTAAATTTTAATTTTTTACATCAATATTATAACGCCTTCACTGTCATGACACAGTTTTTTTCGAGTCCAAACAGTAAGTCACGGTCCTAAAAGTGGCCAAAGTTCATCTTTGTCCAGATATAAAATCGCTTTTTCAACAGCTATAGAAATTTTAATTGTATTAACGAAAAGATATTTATAAAAATAAAATAACAATGCTGTAATTAAAATAAATACCCGTTTTTAAAGGAGGATTTTCTACTTTGGGGGCTATTTCTTTTGTAAATTCTGTAATTTCTTTTTTCAAAACTGTACAGCTGCAAACGGAAGTGTTGTTATGGTTTTAAAATAAACACATTAATAGGTTATTAAATTCAATTAGTATTATTTCATCAACTCACTATTTTTCATCTTTAAAAGAACAAACCAAGTAGTCTTCCAAAACGTTTGTTTTAACTGCAAATTGTGCAGTAGGCGCTAGCACTAACCCGGGAAACCAATTGTCTCTGACTTTTTTTTTGTTATTGAACTCTATGCACACCATGTTACCAATGTCTTTTTTTTCCATTTCTAAAATGTCTTCCTCTCCACTTTCCCTGTAAAAAATCAATCAAAATAAGATTATTCACACTACATAAAACCTTTTGTTAAAACTTAAAATCATTGAATACAATACCTAACTATTGAAATATAAAAAACAGCATCAATTGTTTAAACAATTAAGATTATTTAAACAGCTAAACTAAGTTTATTTAAATTATTTAGTATACAGTTAAGAATTAAGTAAAAATAAATTGTACAAAGATTTTTTTGATAAAAAATAAATATTGAATACATTTAAAAGTCTAAAATATCAAAAATAATAACTAGTAAAATAATAAAACTCTTAGAAATTTGTCGTACTAACAGTGTTTTGACTATAGTCCTGTATTTTTTTAATTGTTCCTTCTTATAATTCTTTCTTTTCATTACATTTGCACCAATCTACAAAAAAAGAAACGCATGTTTTCTTGATCATTCTAAATTTTGATTTAGCACATATTGCTAAAACACAAAATCTATATATATAAACTAACCTTGCATTTTACTGATTTTGAGATTTTCCTGATCTTTGCATCACAAAATGCTCCTTTATACTAGACACTGACCTCAGTACCGACAGCAAGAAGTGGAGGTTCGACCAAATTCACCTAATCACATAAAAACAATATTAGACTACATCAAAAAATAAGTTTGTAAGAGTTAAACAATTGCAAAAAAAAAAAAAACTATAATGCTTTACAATTAGAATATTTATAATTATATAAAAATATAACAATAGCATGCATTGAAAAGTTTGCTGGACTTAAAATATAGATTGTGAAGTCTAAATAAAATAGTGTACCTTGATGTTTTTAATAAAAATGTCAAATTATGTGTTCACATTACTATTTTACCTTAGAGTAAATAAAAAAAATGAAAATAGTTTACTAAAAGTATGTGTCCACACTTAACGTAACAATATAATCCAATAAGATATTTTTACATAATTATATTTAAACTGTTCAACGTACATATATTTATAATTTGTAAATAGCGTATTAAGGAAATTAATTATAAACTATACACCATTGTGTTAAGATAAAAAAAAATTCACAATTATAAGTATTGTATGACTTAAAACAATTAATACATTAACATGAAAGTTGTGTGTTAGATTTCATTGAAATGTAAAGAAGAAACTCACAATTATCCATTAAACAATTATTGAGGTGTTACACCAATAGAATAATGTAAAAAAATAGTTTTTTGTACATAAATAATAAAATGGAAATAATAAGGGTGCAAATCTTTGGTTGGCAAATAGTACTCAAATTATATAGTATTTCTCAGAATTATACTCCGGTCGAATAATATCCCTAGTCTTAATCAATTGCTTTCAAAAACCTGAGTACCTTGCGGTCGAGTAGTATTCCCAAAGAAAGATTTCCAAATGACCATTTATACAGTTTAAATAGTGATAGATTATCTTTTTACAGTGGTAGGTGGTTTTGTGAGGAAGGAAAGTAACGCTAATGGTCATTATCATAATTTGATATCTGCTTACCAACTACATAGAACCTAGAGACCACCACTGAAAAACCCCAACCATTTCTAAATATTGATATTATTGTACATCAATAACCATTTTAAATGAACAAGAACCAAAATATAAACAAATATTGTTTGCAAAAAAAGCAATTGAATTTAATGTTAGAAATCTCCAACTACAATACTAGGATATTATCAAATTACCGTTATATTATGGGTTTTCAATATTGTAAGTAGTTAAGGGTTAGTTTAAATTATTCCTATTATTATGTGTTTGAATACTTATTTAACGGTTTGGCATAAACTTTCTGCAATATCTTTTTAAATTAATTAACTTTCAACAATAAATACTAACCATGATGATTTTTGTGTTTGTTTTTGTGCACAATATTATTACTAATTTACAGTCGCGTCCGTTAAATCAAATTATAATGTATATTGAATGTGATTTTGATCTGTAAAAAAACAAAAATTCAAAGTTTATTTATGGTTATATAATAATGTTATTATTTATAATGATTGAATTTATGAAACTTCTATAAATTTCTAGTAATGTCAAGTAGGTATCAAATTATCACATATTATATGCACATTATAATCATTCATAATATCATACAACTAAAGCTCGACTTGGTTTTGATAAAAAATGGTGGCTTCTTGGTATTTCTATTACAGTTTGTACATATTTAATAATATGGTTTATAACTTCTAGGTAAACTTTAGTGTAAAATACAATATAAATGTGTAAGACATATTATATAGTGTGCAGTTGTTTATCTGTAATTGGGTTAACTACTAACAAACTTAGTAACTACAAAGCTATAAAATATCAAAGATAAGAAGATAGTGTCGAAAAGTCTGTGGTAGATTAATTGCCCAGCAGGCAAGATACTAGTGTTTCATTTCCAGTCATGCTGATAATTTTTTTTATAGTTTTCCGAGTCATCAACATATTGTCTAACTTAGGATAAGCTTAAAGCAAACAAATGTCAAAAACCTAGCTAATATTAGTTATTAGGTATGTATGATACACGCAGAGATGCTTGGGGATTTGTCAATATTTGTTACTATATTATCATAATCTTTATTTAATTAAAATAAATTGACAATGCTTTTGACTGAAAATCACAAAAATATTATGTGTCAAGTTTACTATACACGGTGGACTGCCATAGACTACTCTACAGAATGGAACTATAGTACACATTTATCATTCTTGTAACGTTAGTAATTATGTCACCAAAACAAATATAATATTATAGTTGATGCAGTAGCTTGGACTTATCATACATTTATATTTTAAAATACATACGCTTTAAATGTTAAGATTTTTATCATTAAATTTATAGGCTAGTTAAAACTAATAATTGTTTGCAATGCCTAATCAAATGCTGAATAATAGAAAACATTTCCAATGCGTTATTTGTGATCAACAAGTAAATTTATTACATTAGAAAAAGGTAGCACTTGCTGAGCTGTAAACTAGAAGTGTTATCATCCCTACGACCGTTGATAGTGCTTTTGACGCTAAAAGTCTTAAGTTAAAGAATGAATGTATGTGAATAATTTAACTTGTTTAACAAAATACGTTATATCAAATCCATTAACGGAAGGTAAATAACTAACTAATAAATTCATTAGAATAAATAAAAATTATATATTAAATAAAAACGTTTGTCGGTACTTACTATTATTAAGCCATTATGAGACAGTTTCCATGGACGTAAAAACATAGTTTAACATTTAATAATAATATGTTTTTTAGCAATATTTGAACAGTAAACACACAATTATGTTATAAATTTAAAAGAACAATAAGGATCACTTTGGGTGAGACAAAAAAATTACAGACAACAATCTACTTGATAATGATGTTTATGCGTGTGATAACAGCGGCCATCGAATGGTCAGAGGTAGAACGGAGTGAAGGTAAATACATTTGGTTGTTATTATTAATTGTCGCACACGCATAAACACCATTATCAACTAGATTGTTGTCTGTAACTTTTTTGCATTCACAACTCTCATCTAAAGCGCTCGTTGTTGATTTTTCGAAAAGTTGTGTCGTCGTTCTGTGTTGACAAGAACTTAAATATAATTTTAAAAACACAATTGGTAGGTATTAAGTGTGTAATTTCACAACTGTGTATTCACGTCTATGGGTCGTAGCCTTGGAAGCGGCTTCATAATAGCTAAATAATAGTAAGTACCGACAAACATTTTCATTGATTATATAATTTGTATTTATTCTTATGAATTAATTAGTAATTTACCTACAGTCTACAGATCTGTTGTTATGTATTTTGTCAAACAAGTTGGTAAACTAATGGAAAAATGTTGCTGGTCGTATATCTAGGACTTTTTTACTAAGACGTCTCGCTCGCATTGATTCATTTAAATAAGATTAAACTCCAGCTATAGTAATTTTTAAATATACATTATGAGATATTATGCTAATTATTGGATATATGCTTTGTGTTCTAGAGTTTAAGAAGTGCGAAACTAGCCAAGAATTCAAATTAAAATGGGTGATTATAACTGCGGTATCTTGATCAAAATAGAGGAAGACAACAAGGAAACAAAAAAGCACTTTACTGAAGCCTTAGTGAAAGAATCAAAACCGAGTAACATCGAAAAAACATATAAGAGTTGTTTTACAACCCACAACGATAAAAAAACAATAAACGAGGATTCTTATAAGTAACGTGATTTGAAATACATTTTATTTAAAAAAAACTATAACATGATAAAGGTAGCTAGAGCAGATAACTAGGCGTTTGTAATTTATTTTAAATAAATAATAAAATTTAAAAAAATAATATATTTTTATTAGGTTAGTTTCTTTTGTACTATCATTGTTTTTTATTTGTCAGCAGTCCAAGTATATGTTATGTTCGATTAGGTTTTGATTTAAATATTCATGTATTATGTCTTACCAATGCCAATCATGGATATAGATCATTTATATCAGTTTTGATATAGAAAAAAAAAATCTGAGGCTAACACTTGTAGTTAAAATAAAATAAAAATAAACATTTAAAGTTGACAACCTAATTTGTTATATTGTTCTTTGTGTTTTTAGACTTAATGAAACAGGAGATGTGCCAAGAATTAAAATTGAAGAAGGTGAGACGGATGATTATTACTGTAAATCCATAATTGAAAAAGAAGAAAACAATGAGCAACAAAAAACGACCGATGGCAATTCGTACGAGTAATATAACTTTTGAAATCAAATATTTTAAATAAATGTTAGTTAATAATAATATTTGGCCACCCCTGAATATCCTAGTATTTTCAGTTACAAATCTAAAACAAAAAAGAAGGATGACATACAGTTTTTGTATCAATATTTTGTAATAAAAAAATAAGTTACTTTATAGCTTTGATTCTTGGTAAGGACTTCGCTTTACGTATGAAACAATAGTACTCTTTCTTTATAATTATCACTGGTTGTAAAACACTGTACGCACCCCTAGAATTTCTACTGCAAATTATGTTAATTGTTAAAATGTATGTGTTTTTCCTACATTTGACTTGTATAATTTTTACAAACGACCATTGGCAACGTGTTTGATTTTTGGGAACACCCACTAATTTATCGACATCTATTAAATGTACCAATTAACCAACAACATTAAAAAACATAATAAAAATCGGCTTAACTACATGCCCGCAGAAATTATTTTATTAGAAACTCTTATAGTTAAAATCCATATCATGTGTTTTATTTTTTAGATTTACTGAAGAGAAAATTAAAGTTGAAATTAAAGAAGAAACTGATGATTATAACAGTTGTCCCATAAACAATATAGATGAAGAAAATGAAGATACGAAAGAGAACATTACCGAAGCCTTAATGATGAAACCAAGTCTGACTTACTTTGAAAAATCATATAATAGTTGCGGAACGGTCAAAAATTATCGTTATAAAACATTCGACGGGATTTCATATTAGTAATGACTTTTTTAAAATACAAATAATTCATATTGTTATTTTGATGTCACTGTACTTTTTCTGTTGGCACGACATTATGCTCGAAGGAATAACGGACAGGGCAATAAACAAGTTTTTGTTTTAAATTAATTTAAATAAACAAAAAAAATATGAAGAGCCAATAGTGTTGTGTCAAAAAACTTTACATATTTCATTTTGTCTGCATTTAAATATTTACTAAACCTGCTGAAAGTTCCAGAAATGTGTGTAGGACACTTTTATAATAATTGATCCTAGTCTTGAAATTGCTCTTACCAGTTTCACTGATAGCAACTAGTACACAGTGCTATGTTAACATTCATTGATTGTAGCCATTATTTTCTATTACAGTTTTGAGTTTATTTGTTTATTTTTGGTTTTTAGTGTCGGAGAAACGTGCAACGAAACTATAGTCAAAGAAGAAACCGACCTAGGGGTTGGCAATTATTTCGAATCTGTGATTAAAATTAAAAAAAAAAGTTTGTCGGATGTACAAACAACAAAAAACGATCTGGAGGAGATACAGTCATTTGTCTGTGATATATGTAAAAAATCATTCGCGACCAAAAGGAGAGTGGCCTGGCACATTAGTCATTCACATAGTGCGCACTCAATAACCCAGCAAAGTTCTGGAAAACAAGACGTCGAAAATAATATCATGTAAGACAAATTGATCATATTATTCATTATGCCACTCGTTATATAAGTACTTACTGCCTAATTCGCAGTCTATCATTTGGTGTATATAAATGATTACAACTGAAAGTGATAAATTCACTTTCAAATAAAAGCTACGATGCGTATCTGTAATGGTAGAAACACAATTATCGATAAATGTATTGTTCGTAAAGATAATTATATGCTTAAAAACAAATTTTAATTTTTAATATTAGAAGGATAGGATTAGGGATGATCGATTGACTATAAAATTGTACGCCATAGTTACCCATTTATTATTAATAAAGATATAGTGACTCACAAAAAAGTAATGAAATAAAAACATCAGTTTGAGAACAATACATCCTCATTAAAGCAAAAAATAAGTAATGAAATTTTGTAAGTTTCAAGCTCAATATTAATTAAAATTAAAATTAATTTTAGTAAATTAAATATAAATAATAAATAAAAACTTCTCCAGATCGGGCGGCTGCCGAAAACATGTTAATAAAAACAAATGATTTGATGCGTATAATTGTGACAAGAATAAATTTTTGTAAAACGTTATTGTTTATCGTTTTGTTGTAGTGTCAATCATACGACCGTTGGAGTAACTGATGGATACAATGGCAACATTGGACGACCCTATAAATGCGGCGTGTGCCTAAAGTCGTTTACTGCAAAATCCTCGCTTACAGTACATAAACGCGTTCACACTGGGGAAAAGCCTATAAATGTAACGTGTGCCTAATATCATTTTCTATAAAATCCTGTCTTACAGTACACAAACTCGTGCACACTGGTGAAAAGCCTTATAAATGTGTTGTGTGCTCAAAATCGTTTTCTCTGAAACCCTACCTCACAAAACACGAACGCGTGCACACTGGCGAAAAGCCCTACAAATGTAACGTGTGCCTGAAGTCATTTTCTGATACATCCACTCTTACAGTACACAAACGCGCGCACACTGGCGAAAAGCCTTATAAATGTATTGTATGCTCAAAGTCGTTTTCTGATAAATCCACTCTCGCAAAACACAAACTCCTGCACACTGATGAAAAGCCCTACAACTGTGACGTTTGCTCAAAATCATTTAATCAAAAAGTCCACTTTGAACAACACAAACGCATGCATACAGGAGAGAAACCCTACAAATGTAATGTGTGTTTAATGAAATTTTCTGTAAAATCCTCTCTTTCACTACACAAACGCGTGCACACTGGCGAAAAGCCTTATAAATGTTTGGTGTGCTCGAAATCGTTTTCTCGAAAACACGACCTCACAAGACATAATAAACGCATGCACGCTGGTGAAATGTTTATTAAATTTAAAAGTATACATCGTGCTTGAATTTTTTTTTTTAAATAACATCTAACAAAAGCACAATCGTTAACACATTTATGAGAAACATCATTGTATGTAATATTAATTATTATGTTGTTTTAACAAGTGGGTTAGTACTCTGCAGCCTTATTTTTATCGATAGTTTGATATTGGTATTATTTGTATCATAAATATATTGTTATTATTAGTCATATAGTTTATTATTTGGTTTTGAATATACATTTTTTATTTCTATTTATACATGTTTTGTATCATTCATTTGGCAATTTTTTTTTTTTTATATGACAGTTGATTATTTGGTAAGCACATTTAAACGTGATGACGTTAATTACGATAATTGATTATTAGGGAACTTTGAACCTTAAGTAAATAACACAATAAGAAACTGTGTGCTAATGACTTATTATTGAATTACATTCTGAATATAGTCCATCAACTTGATTTATTTTATTTAAATTAATACTCTCCATTGGCGGCATGTACATTACAAAAATTGACACAGTTACTCTTTTACTTTATCATTAATGTTCAATTGAAATATATTTAAGTACATGTTATACCCCATATGTAATTAGAAAGTCGACATAGTCAGTATTTGTTAAAATCACCTAGTATATATTTTTTAACTTATAAGAAAAATATGGTCGATTATTACTATTTTTTTTTAATTAGCCTACACCAAAAGGTATTACAGCTCGACAATTATAGATATTATTACAAATGGTCGATTCCTAATTCGTTAATAGTTTTCGACAACGTTTTCATTTTTATTTTTACATAAATATAGTTATGTAAAATGCTTTTTTCTCAGTACATAATGTTTTCCAAGCAAAAACTACTAAGAAGTATTAAGTTTATTATTCATGGCGTTCTAAAGGAAAAAAGAGAGATCAAAAAGTTTAAAAATACCTGTATATATTTCATTGAAAAGTTGTAAAAACATGGAAAAACGAACACAGTAGGTTCAAAATAGTTTAAATAGTTTTCTATGATATAGGTATTAACTATCACCATATTATTATTACTATTATTATGATATTTGGTGTATTTTTAATTATTATGATTTTGTTTGAACATTAGGTACTTTTATAATATACAGGGATAAGAAAAATACAGTATTTCAGTCACTGAATCTATGATCTAGGTCATAGGTAGATCTAGAGAGGAACCATAACATGTACAATTTTCACAAAAATTTGTAGTCAAATTTTTCTTTTTTATTATGGACAACCCCCAAAATAGGGAAATTACTATTGTTATAAGTTGCTATAGGTAAGTAAATCAACAGTCAACAGGTAATGAAAATATTTTCATTATAGTATTATATAATAATGGGCTTGTTTGTTTTGAATTATTCAGCGTGAGTCTGTTAGTGATTTTTGTTCCTAGTATTTATTTGTATTAATTAATTAACTTGTTTTAAAACGTGTCTGTACTCTTGCCCCAAGGAGCGTTATTGTTATATCAAATAATTTAATAAAATATAAATATACTATCATATTATGTTCAGTAAAAAAAAAAATACAAACCATTGTAAGAACAATACAATGTCAGTTTCCCAGCGAATACAAATTTATATATTAAATGGGAATTATGTAAATAACTTGAATATTCGAATTGTCTTATATAGTTTTTGTATCAAAATGATAATTAGGAAAATGACCCATTGTTGAAATTCTAAGCTGAAAATTACGAGTAAACTTAAGAGAAAAAAAAAGTTAGTGGGATATCCACATAATTGCTTCTTTGATTTATCTGATGTTATGAATGGCCTTGTCACACTGAAAAATAAAAAATCTACCGGTCCTGATGGTTTATCTGGCGAATTCTTGTACAATATTCGTCACACACTTTGCTTTCCGTTATGGCTTTTATTGCGTAAAAGTCTTGACACAGGTGTATTACCTGAGATGCTCAAACTTAGCTCTGTGACTCCCGTGTTTAAATCAGGTGATATTTCTGATGTTTGTAACTATCGTCCGATAACCGTTCTTAGTCACATTTCTAAGCTCTTTCAATCCCTAGTTCTGCGCTATGTTCAACCAATTTTAAATTCCGCCTTAATAGAGGAACAACACGGGTTTCGCCCTAAGCGTTTTACTACAACTTGTAATCTAGTATTTGTGAACTATGCATTTGAAGCGTTCGCAAGTGGTAACCAAGTAGATGTCATCTATACTGACTTCCGTAAGGCCTTTGATAGGGTGGATCAAAAGACTTTATTGAAAATTTTGATGGATAGTGGTTTTGGAGAACCTTTATTATCATGGCTTTGATCATATTTAAAAAATCGTAAGCAATATGTAAGAGTGTTTGGTTGTAAGTCCACCATTTGTAACGTACCGTCTGGTGTCCCTCAAGGGGGACATCTCTCTCTTATACTTTTCTCCCTATTCATAAATAGTGTTATTCAAAATAGTAAATTTTTTATTATTTGCAGACGATCTGAAGTTATTCTTGAAAATTCGCAGTGTAAATGATTGCCAATTGCTTCAAAACGATTTATATGCATTAAGTGATTGGGCTGATAATCTGGGTTTAGAATTTAATATTCACAAGTGTCACTCTATGTCTTTCTACAGAATCCATCATCCTATTATGTATAATTACTTATTAAAAGAAGTATCCCTTGATGTAGTTAGTACAGTAAATGATCTCGGTATCACATTTGATCGGGAACTTAACTTCCATGACCATATAGAAAGATCTTGCTGTAAGGCGCTAAAGACACTTGGGTTCGTAAAGAGAGTTTCCACGGAATTTAACTTGTTAGCTCCGTTAAAGTCTTTGTACTGTGCTCTTGTTCGATCTATTCTAGAGTATGCTATGGTTATATGGGACCCTAATACCTTAATTGCTAAAAACCAGATAGAGAGGGTCCAACGGAAATTCTTGTATTTTGCTGCCAGGGTACTCCATATTGCTCACCGACCACAAGACTATGAGCCAGTATTAAATAAACTTGGGTTAGCAACACTAGCTGATAGGCGTATTTCTGCTAGTCAAGACTTTTTGAGAAAGCTTATGGATGGATTTATTGATTGTCCTGATTTATTAAGTGAACTCAACTTCAAAGTCCCTAACTTCCATTCTAGATCACCATATCCTTTCTTTGTACCGATTTGCACCACTAATTATTCATATAATAGACCTATTTTCAGGATAATGCGCATTGCGAATGAGAACATCTCCACCTTCACTTTTGTATAACTTCTTAGATTAAATAATTATAAATGTATTGCTGTGTCTACAAAAATTGTACTTTGGGCCTCGGCCTGTTTTGTAAAATAAATAAATAAATACCACAAGCATTAATACACAGGAATTTAAGGTAGTTGTAGCCATTAGTTTACAAAAATCATCGTAGTTGGCAAAAATATTCAAAATGTTACTAACGTGGGCTTTATTAGTGTTTATATGCCGGTTGTAGTTTTACAATATTAGTTTCTCGGCACAAGTGAAAATAAAGTAGAGGGATATCCACATAAATAATTAGGTCATGGCTTAAAATCGTAGTAGGTACTACATAGATAGTTTGATTAATTTATTGAAAACAATTGCATCGAATACAACTGAAATTAAATTGTACAATTTAAACCTTTAAGCGTACCTATTATATAGAAATAATATCCGTGAACATTACTCATATTGAAAAAGATTATAGTGTAATAAGTATAGACTATAAAACAAAAATTAGAACTATAATATAAATAATTAAATTTATATTTCATACTTTTCGTTTGAATACATTTAAATATATGTTATTGTGTAATGTTTGTATAACGTATACATATGTGTTGAATAATGTATATACTTTTAAAATATCATTAAGAAAAGTACAAATCATTGGAAAAACTACACAATTTCAGTTTCCCAGCGAATTAAAAATTATATATTAAAGAGAACGTCAATGATGGAAAGGACATAAATATTCTTATTCTCTAAGAAATTAAAACTCCTATACAATTATCGCATTTAAATGGTATCCGGAAAAACTACTCAAATTAAAATGTAATAATTAATATTTAATTTTAAAAAAAAATTAGGTGTAAACACAGGTAACTAAAAGACGTATGATATCCAAAAGTAATGATAATAAGATTTAATAGGGATTGCTACCACTTTTACCAAATTCGGAATTCGTATTGATAACTGATAAGGACGGCAGGTCTCCGAGTGTTTTGGCACTCGCTCGCTACGCACGCTCGGCGCCGTCGCTTCGCTCCGCTAACTAAAAATATCCTAGGTTTGTAGGCTACAGTCTAGGAGGAGGTTACAGGTTTATATTTAAGTTTAAGTTTTTTTGAAAAGTTAAAGAGACTTGATAATATACGCGTAGTACCGAATATCGGAGCCGTTTGGGAATTTACATACTCGTGAAACCTTTTTCAACGGGAGCCGTTTTGGAAAAAACAAACAATGGATGGGAGCCGTTTAGGTTGCACCGGACAAAACGTCTCGTTGTATGCAGCTTCCGGGGACCCCATAAGT